AGCCACTGTGGAGAACAGTATGGCGTTTCCTCAAAAAACTAAAAATGGAACTCCCATTTGACCCAGTGATCTCACTTCTAGGAATATATCCCAAGAAACTAGAAACACCAATCAGAAAAGATATATTCCTATGTTCATAGCAGCACAATTTACCTTAGCTAAGATTTGGAAACAGCCTAAGTGCCCATCAGCAGATGAGTGGATTAAAAGACTGTGGTACATCTACACAATGGAACACTACGCTGCTATAAAAAGGAAGGAACTCCTACTATTTGCAACAGCATGGATGGAACTGGAGAGCATTATTCTAAGTGAAATAAGTCAGTCAGAGAAAGATAAATATCACATGATCTCACTCATTTGTGGAATATAATGAACAACATAAACTGATGAACATAAACAGATCCAGAGACAGAGAAGCATCGATCAGACCATCAAACCTCAGAGGGAAGGTAGGGGAGAGTGGGATAAAGGGGAGAGATCAACCAAAGGTCTTGTATGCATGCATATAAGCACAATCAATGGACACAGACAGTAGGGGAGTGAAGGAATGAGCGGGGGTGGGTGTGGGAGGGGGGAGAGGCAAGGGGAGGATACGGACACATATGTAATACCTTAATCAATAAAGAAAAAAAACCCAGAAACTACTCTAGCCATTTAGGTGTTTTATAATTACTGATTTAAGAGACCTGTCTCTTAAATGGATGGAAATAACACATTTTAAAGTGAAAAGGGAAATGAGAAAATAGGATTTGATTTACAACATTTTAGTTGGCATACAATGGCAGGAATTTAGACAAGATGTAACAGAACCTAAAATCAGAGGCTCCCTCCCTGTTCCCCATTCCTGAGAGTCCTGTGCCCCCAAATCCCACCCCTCTTTTTCTCTCTCTAAATGGCTACTTTGATCTCAGAGAAGGTCAGCATATTAAACTCTATCCTTGGGTGAGGGTTAAAAAACAAAAAACAAGCAAACAGAAAGCTGTGGGTGAGCTGCTTTGGGAGTGTTAAAAAAAAAAAAAAGCTGATTCTAACCCTTTGTGTGGGAGCTCTGGGGTAGGTTTTGGGTAAAGCCCTGAAATGTCTATTGTTTGAAAGCATCCGTTGGAGATTCTGATGTACAGCCAGGCTTAACTCTGCTAAAAAAAAACCATTGGAGTGGGCCACTTGATAAAGCTGAGGGCTTCCTGTCCCTGGAGGCATTCCAGAGAAAGCCTGTGGATCACTCAAGAGCAGCTTTGTGTATTTAGGGGTGGTCTGGGGGACAGGGATGAGCTGGGTTCCTTCCGAGGTACTTTTCTCAAGTCCCAGTTCCCAAGCTTGTAGTGCAATTCATACGAAAGTATACATGAGTCTGAGGTACTCTTTACCGTGATCCTTTAAATGGAGGCCTTTCCTTCACCAAAAATATATCTGCAGCAGCGGATGCTAATTTCAGGCACTGTGACTAAGTGAAATGAAGGAATCCAAACAATGTGGGCATGGAGATCTTCCAGTTGTTCCTTAAATCAGTGGCTTCCAAACTTGGCTGATCTTCAGAGTCATCTGGGAAGCACTTTAAAAAGACAGATTTTGGGGCACTACTCCAGAATTACTGAAGCTGATTCTTGGGGTAGGCATGGTACCCTGAAATGGGTGGTTTTTTAAAAACTGCGTTTATTTGGGCAAACTACTGTGGTTATCCTCAGTTTTTGTTTTGCCATCTGGAAAAAACAACAACACACACACAAAAACAGACAATAATACTAGCTCCACAAGTTTTTGTGAAGGCAATGGGTATGAAAGTAAATTGTCAATGATAAATTATTATGCAGGTGATAATTATTTTTTAAAATACATTTTTATTTATTTCAGAGAGGAAGGGAGAGGGAAAAGGAGAGAGAGAAACATCAATGATGAGAGAGAATCATTGATCGGCTGCCTCCTGCACACCTCCTACTTGGGATCAAACCCACAACCTGAGCATGTGCCCTAACCCGGAATGGAACTGTGACCTCCTGGTTCATAGGTCACTGCTTAATCACTGTGCCATGCCAGCTGGGTGGTGATTATTATTATTAAAATTGTTATTGAAGTTGGGTCAGTGTGGCTCAGTGGCTGAGCATCAACCCATGAATCAAGAGATCACTGGTTCAATTCCCAGTGCTTGATCCCCAGTAGGGGGCGTGCAGGAGGCAGCTGATCAATGATGTTTCTCTCTCATAGATGTTTCTCTCTTTCTCTCTCTCTATTCCTCTCCCTTTCTCTCTCTCTGAAAAAAAAATCAATAAAAACATTTTAAAAAAATTACTATTGAATAAGATGACAACAAGGACTCAAGAGGGAAGCCTGCGAGAAAGGAGAACTGAGATCTGTAAAAGAGAGAAATGGGACTAAGACAAAAGCAAAGTAGAGGGAAACAGAAGTTTAGGCAGAGAGCAGATAGAGTGTTAGTACCTTCTGCACTTCCTGAACTTTTCCAGCCATTTGCACCATGATGGTCATAATTGATTCAATGTAGGGAACAGGCAGGAATCAGAAGACAAGAAGAGGACAGTAGACTGCGGGTGAGGTGAGGTGAAGGGGCTCTTGGAGTTTCCAAAATTAGGGACGGCGGTCTGACAGGTCAGAGGGTGAGGTCGGATGCAATTGGCATCTTATAGTGTCCAGGCCATGGGTCTGGGTCACCTGGTATGTGGACATGGCTTGCCCCTCCTACTGGACGGTCTCAGCATCACATTGCCCCAGCAATCCAACAATTTGCTCAGCATCTGCTTTGTCCAAGTCCCAGGTCAGTGGGTTGACTTCTCTGTGATTGGCAGAACTACATCATACCCAGACAGCTAGAGGGAAGCGGGGACAAGGATATAGACAGGAAGCCAAAGCTTCATTCATGACTAATGAATTGGATGTAGGAGGGGGAGCAGGCACGGTGTTTGTACACACACACACACACATACACACACACACCACGGTCTTAGCCTGCACTTGGTACTCTGGGCCTATTAGTGAAAGAAGATCAGGAAGGAAGATGGGAAGGAGGAGGAGAAAAACAGAAACCCAAGGTGGAAGGAAGTCCACAGGAGAAATGATTTAGGAATCAGTGCAGAAGGCCAACATGAAGAAGGGTCTCACCTCCCATTTGTGGGGCTCTCGGGCCACAATCACAAGTTGAAACCGTTTTGTGCCTGATGTGGTCCCATGTTGTGGACACACTGTCCTGCCTGCCTCTGCATCCACACAAGCCTTTCTGTCCCACGGCCTCTGCTTCCAGCGGTCAGGGCCTTATCTGAGCCACAGTGATGACTAACCCAAGTACCCTGACTCCTTTACCTGACCCTCTACCCGTACCCTTTCCTGGTCTCAAGATCATTTGGTAACCCCAGGGGAGCTTCTCGAATCCCTGTTTACAAGCACCTAGGCCCCCCAGTCCCTGCTTTGTCCCCGAAGAGGAAGACCCAAAGTTCATTACTCTTGCCCTTTGGTATAAATACCTCTCTCTGGATGGCCTGGAGCCTGGAAGTGCAGAATCACACCCAGTCCCAGTCCCAGGGCAGCGAGAGTCCCTGGGCAAGAGTGCTCTAGGACCAGGAATGAATCAGGAGGCCAAAGGGTCAGCAGAGGTCAGAGGGCTGGGGCCATGGCTTGATCACATGTTCAATGCACACAGTCGTCCAGTCATCTGTGCCCCACTTGCCCCAATTCCCTCTCCTCTCAGAAGGAAGAAAACAGAAGCTTCAGAGCCCCAGGGGTGTGCACACTGAACCGGATATTACAGGGGAAAGCACCACATAAATAGAAATGCTGCAAAAAGAATTAGAAACCAAAGCACTGTCCTAAATACATCAGCCAACATTTATTTACATTTTCCCATACAGGATCTCATCTGGTACAGGAACACTAAGAGGACAATACTAACACCCTCCCTTTTCAGATGATGAAATTGAAGCTCAGAAGTTGTCAGTTGAAGACCACACACATCCAGGTACTGACTCCAAATCTTATGCTCAGCCAAAGCATGAAAATACGTGAGGATTTATCAGATGGTTATCGCATGAGTGAAGTAACTAACAAATTGGTGCACATTAATAATCTCTCCTGCACACAGTGCTGTAAGATTTGTAAAGATCGTTCCCCAACATTGTCTCATTTGATCCTCACTACAGCCCTGTGATGTTGTGGACTCTGATTTACAGGTGGGAAACCTGAGACCTGGATTAATCCATTTCCCCAAGGCCACACAGTTAAGTTGAAAAGGTAAGGCAAGACAGGTAAGTCGTTGCTCTTTAAATTTCCCCCTAAAAACTCAGGACTCTTAATAATCGCTGTATCTCAGGCTCTTAACATTCCAGGTACATAGGAGACCCTCAATAAATATTTGCTTAATAAATGACAGGGAGACTGAAGGAATGAATACCACATCGTGAATGGAGAAAAGACTTCAAAGCTGACGCAGTCTACAAGTAGGAGATTCTTGAAACAATTGTCTCCATCACTCTGTCCCCTCCCGCACTCTTGGCTAATTCCATCCGAGGAGGGAGGGGTCCAGAGACCCTCACTCAGTGCCTCTCCCGTCGCCCCCGCGGGCTCCTAGGACTGAGCCGTGGGATCTGAAGGAATGGGACCTGGGGGGCCGCCAAGGGCAGGGTCGTGGGAGGAGCTCCGAGAAAAGAAGGGAGGTGCGGGAGGGGCGGGGGCAGTGACGGCAGCAGGAACCCCAGCGGAGCGGGGCGGGGGCCGGAACGTCTGGCCAGGCTGCGGCGGAGCGAGCGGGGCCAGCGCTGCAGAAGGCGGCGGCTCGCGCGCTGGAACGGTCACATCCCGCTGCAGGCGCCGGCGGAGACGGCCGCACAGCCTCCCGCACGCGCACCCGCACCCGCACCCCGGCCGGCGGGCAGGCGGTGCACCGCCCTTGCTCACGGACAGACTACGCCGCCGGTCCCAGCTCTGGGGACCCTGCAACCAGCGCCCGCTACGCCTCCGCTCTCTGCCCGCAGCTCGGCCCCGTGCTACCCGCCCCGTGCTACCCGCCTCGACGGGCCCGGGCCGGGATGGGGTAGGGGCAGCACCACCGACTCGGGCGATGGGTCGCCCACTAGGCACCCCCCCGAGGCCTGACCGACCGCGAGGACCGGCGGAGGTGGGTGTGGGCAGGGCAGAGCCGCGCACTGGGGGCGCCTGGGTGATGCGGGGGCGAGGAAGGGTGGGGAAAGGGGGCGCTCTGGGGCCGCGGTGGGCCCCGGGGCGTCCGGGAGAGTTGTTGCCTACACGGGCATTCAGGACGGCCCTTGACCGCCACCCCCAACTCCTGCCATCTCCAGGAGCCCCGCCTGGATGTCTAGCGGATGCCTCGGTGCCTCCTAGCGGACTCGGTGGGGACCATGGCTTCGCTGATGCCCCTCTCCCCTTATCTAAGTCCCACGGTCCTCCTGCTGGTCAGCTGTGACCTGGGCTTTGTGCGAGCAGGTGAGTAAAGGAGATGCAGGTGGGAATTGACCAGAGCTAGCCTGTGGGTGGAACCTGTTAACCTGCTAACATGCCGGCACTCACAGACCGGCCTCCATCTCCTGTGAATGTGACAGTCACTCACCTCAGAGCCAACTCGGCCACTGTGTCCTGGGACGTCCCAGAAGGCAACATCGTCATTGGCTACTCCATTTCCCAGCAAGTATGAGTCACCCTTCTGCTCCCCGAACTTGTGTCCTTGGGTCTCTGAATACCCCACCACCACCACCCCCAGCTCCCTGCCAGCAGGGGGGAGAATCTGGGAGCTGGTGTGCCCTGCCTCCAGCTGCCCTTTCCACCGTATTCCCTTGGCTTGGGTGTTCAAGAGTGCTGGGTTGAGCCTGTGGCCTGGGAGTGGGGTGAGGCTGCCCTTCTCTCTCTCATTGTCTTTCTGAAGCGACAGAATGGCCCAGGACAGCGGGTGATCCGGGAGGTGAACACCACCACTCGGGCCTGTGCCCTCTGGGGCCTGGCTGAAGACAGCGACTACACGGTGCAGGTCAGGAGCATCGGCCTTCGCGGGGAGAGCCCCCCGGGGCCCCGGGTGCACTTTCGAACTCTCAAGGGCTCTGACCGGCTGCCTTCAAACAGCTCGAGCCCAGGTGAGGATCTGTTATTCCCCACTCCCTAACGCTTTGCATGCTCTGGCTTTTTATCTAGACGTAAGCCTCTTGTTTATTTCTCCAAAGCAAGCAACAGTCTAGCTTAGATGATGAGAAGGATGATTTAATTTGTTGTACTGCCAGGAAAGGAAGGGAAGCAGGTTGGCAGGCGACTGGGTGTACACAGGCTGGTAATGACTCCCTTGGAGGAAGGGCTCTTAAGCTTCCTTTTACCCAACCTCAGTTCACAGCTGCTGCAGCTTGTGTGAGCAAGTGCCTGACCTGTAGCCTTCCTGCTTTTCTGGCCTGTGACCACTTGGTCCATCAACAGCTTCCCAGAGAGGGGGGCAATGCTGTGATGGGCCTACCCTGACTCTACTCCCCAGTATCTCCGTCCTTCACTGTCTGCATAGACATACCTCTCTAGCTACTCTCCACACCCAGAGGCTGTGTCCTTCCTCCTCAGGTGACATCACAGTGGAGGGTCTGGATGGAGAGCGACCACTGCAGACAGGGGAAGTGGTCATCATTGTGGTGGTGTTGCTCATGTGGGCTGGTGAGTAAGCAGCTGGACAGGGGACCAATGATTGAGGGAATGGGGCTCAGTGAAGGTGGGAGGTGGTGAAGGCTGTTGGAGAAAAGGGGGTGAGAGAAATGGAGTGGGAAGATGCTTAGTTGAGAGGGATTCGCAGAAATTTGAAGAGAGGGAGAGGAGGTTCTGGGGAGCCCAGAGAGGAAGACTAAGAGGGTGGTGCTTGTGCGTGGGCACCAGGAATTCAAGGATTTTCTTCTCGGATTCTCTATGAACTGTGGGCATCTCACTGCCCTTTGAGGATGTGAGTGGGGAGGTTGGGATCAAGGCTCAGACTGTATTGTTGTGTTTCAGCTGTCATCGGGCTGTTCTGCCGTCAGTACGATATCATCAAGGACAACGACTCCAACAACAACCCCAAGGAGAAGGGGAAGGGGCCTGAGCAGAGTCCTCAGGGAAGGCCAGTGGGGACAAGACAGGTGAGGTGGGGCCTGTGAGGGAGGGAAGGGTGAGATTTTGCCTCTAGGAGCAGTCAGGGAAAAGGGAGAAAAGCAAGGAGGGGCAGGAAAAGTCCCAATGGAAATTTGGGATGGAGGTGGTATTTCCTTCCAGAAATTTAGAGACTCAAGTCATTTTCATTCACAGAAAAAGTCACCATCCATCAACACCATAGACGTATGAATGAAGAAACAGAACCAGAAGAGAGATGCACTAACAACCTGGGGATGGGGATGGGGTCAGGGAGAGCCTAAGATGGTGATCAGCCCAAGATGGAAGGATCCCACAGTATCCCAGAAGATAATGACACTCCCACAATCTCAGGCCTGGTACCCATCCTCTTTCCACTGTGAATAGGGCCAGAAGGTAGGTCTGTGCCCTGGACTTGGGGAGAGGATATCAGATGGGGTATGTCTTTCCATCCCCCAGGTCCAGGGGAGAATCACTTATTCAACCCTATCCCATTAGGTCCCAAATGGAGCCCCCGTTTCCCCTGTATCAGGACTCTCAGCATTCCCTGCTGCCCCCACATCTTGCCTCTGGGTCTCAGAGAGGGGTTTCTGTGGGTACTCCCCCTCTCCCAGCAAATAAATAATGACAGACACTGCACTGCACTACTCCAATGTCTTCCATGGAGCCTCAGGTGCTCCCTCTCACTTGGTAGCACCCCCAGCTGCTGGTGATCTCACTCCTTGGACATTTTTCCAATAAAGGTTCTTGGACAAAATGGAGCTGACTGTATAGTATGCTGAAAACGTTTCCCCATCTTCTCTGACTGCAAGGGCCCCTCACACTACCACCAACTTGACGGGAGCAAACTCTCATTTTAAAGTGTTTGCTTTGATTCTCCAGCCTGGGATGGGTGGAGAGGGGCCAGAAACGGGTATAGGAAACCAGAGCCCTAGTTCCTTTTGCTTTGTTGGGCCAGAAAGGGGAGAAGGAAAGAAGAGGATATAAATTCTTCCTGTACCAGTGGAAACTAAAGTTATATCACATGAGAGGGCTGGGAGCCTTGTTATCTTCACATCAGCAGCTCAGCTCCTCACCATTTATTCCTGACTCCTCCATCAAACCTGAGCTAGTTTTCAGAAAAGGACTGAACAGTGTCTTGGGACAAATGAAAGAGCAGCTACACTAATGGATCCCTCGGTGATACGTGCTCCTCCTGTGCGTTCCTGTGCCTATTCTTCCCTGTCCTTGCTTTCCCTGTTGTCTCTGTCTCTGTTCACTCAGTCAAGTTCAATAATAACTGTAAAGCATAAATGACGTTACATTCACTCTCTGCCACCATATCCAGAGGAGGATTCTGGAAATAAAGTTGAAGGGTTCAAACTCCCCTGTCAAAAGAATTATAATTTGGGCTCTGGCGCCTATTTGTTTCCTGTAAAAACAGGGACTGTCCTCTACTCTTTCCTAAGTTCCAATTGGTTGGTGCCAGTGAAATACCAGTTGCCATTTGCAACCACTGTGGGGGAAAGGCTTCGGAACCCAGAATCTGTCTGGAAAGCATATGCTACACTTTGAGAAGACAAGTCACAGGTCTTCTCAACTCTAGATCTTTCCAGAGAAGGCTTATGAATAACTCTCCTTTTCTGAATCTTGATCTCTCTGGGATGTTACAAGAAATTAAACCAACAATTCTGAAAGAGACCCTGATCCAAATAAGGTTCAAGAAGTCAATATCTTTTCTACTTAACCAATCTCCAACCCCAGATTTTACAAGACAACCTTAACCCATCAGATGAGCCCATTTCTGGCTTGCTCTCCACCCTGAAACAGGAAAGCATCCTAATCTAATCAGAAGTCTTTAATCCACCATTATCCAATTTGGAAACAGGTTACCTTACCTCTCCCTGGCCACCGGTTCCAAAACATTAATCTCTCAGACTGGACACATCATTTCTTGGGGTGGGAGTGTCACAGGGTATAGTGGCATGGGGACAGGGAAGTAGGAGTTGACAAGGAATAGAAAGGGTGTTCAAATGTGCCAGCTCTAGGTTGAATCCCAGTTCCATCCTTAACTGACCGTTATGTAAAACAGGACTAATAATGCTATCCCCTCAAAAGGTGGCTTTGAGGTTAAATGAGATAATGCATGTGCGACACTTTGCACAGTAAGCCCGGCAGACACACATTGAGTATTCACTGTTAGCTATCATTATTAGCCTTGTGGTCCCGTGCAAGTCATATAATTTGGATTCAATTCCGTCAACTGTAAAAGGTCTAGAAGAGCAACTGCCCTGCTTTCCTTCAGGGCTGCGAGGATTAAAAGAAAGCATTCAGCCAGGTTTACGTACATCAGAGGGCGAGAAAGGCTGCGATGACGTAGACCTCGGTTTGCAGCAGGCTTGGGAGCCGGGCTAGATCTGGAAGGCAGGCAGCGACGGGATTGGTAACCGAGAGGAGTCATCAAGTCCTGCCCCGGTCCCGCCCTAAAGCTCACTGCGCCTGCGCGCGTCCTGTTTGCTTCGCCGCGAACCTACGTGGTGACTTTGCGACGCGTGGTGCGCTCCGGGCGCATTTGCGTCAGCGGCGTAGCTGCGGCTGCGGCTGCGTGACGGGTTGTCCAGGTAACCGCCGGAGTTGTCGCTGTCTGGTGGCATCTGAGACACAGGTGTTCGTCATGCAGTTGAAGCACCTGAGAACCCTGCTGAGCCCTCAGGTGAGGAGTTGCGTGCCCGTCCCTCCCCGGCCCGTCTTAACATTCCAAGAGAAGCGGGGGACTAAAGTGTAATCATGTCGAGCGCCTACTGTGTGCAGAGGACCGACGGCTGGACGCGACTCGGCTGCGTCGATGCTGTCCAGTCGGCGAGATGCAGCGCTAACCCCTGCAGCTTGCATTTAGCATCCGTTCCGTGCTGGGGCTCGGAGGGATCCAGAACTAGCTGCCATTGCTCCTGCCTTCAAAAGGCTCCTGCGCCTGTAAACAACGAACATAAACCTACACGGAATTCAATAAGCGCTTTAAGTGCATGCCCCCAAGAGGGAGTGCAGGAGTCCGCACCGTTCGTTCTGATGGTGCAGATAGATCTCTTATTCCCAAGAGGCTGGGTACTGGGGGAGGAACCCTGAAACACGGCGAAGAAAGGCTGGGTTTAGGGGTTAGAAAACCAGAATTCAAGTCCTAGCGCCACCGCTACTTTAAATACATGTCCTGCTACCTCAGACTTTAGCTCTTATCACACTGTCGCTCTCAGCATTCCCTCTAATAGCAACCTTAGGGGATCTGGGAAGAGTTAAAGGAGGTAATATACACAAAAGAACATTGTAAACCGAAAAGCAGTGTAAAAAATAGATAGACAAGAGAGGACATTCAAAATTCAAAATACAAAACTAATAAGAATAATATCTCTTGTAACTGAATGTTTAATAGCATAAGTAAAGAAGTTAGGATTGTGGCTTATGAAGTCAGACATACCTGGATTTAAATCTTGTTCTGTCACTTACCAATTGTCTATGACACTTGAGCAAATTACTTAACCTTCCCGTGTCTCAGTTTCCCCTGTAAAAGATGCATAATAGTGGCATCTACCTCAGTGTTACGAGGTAAAACAAGATAATGAATATCAAGCACTTATCAAAATGCCCAGTCTATGGTAAGTGCTTGTTAAAGGTTAGCTATTATTGTTCTATTTCCTAGTGCATTTAATCCTCATAACAGTGCTGTGAAGTACATATTGCAGAGAAAAGAGAATTATGGAAATCAGGAAGGCTTAACAGAGGATTGGCATTAGGAGGACAGAAGGAAATTAGAACAAAAGAAAGATGTGCCTAGCCCCGGCCAGTGTGGCTCAGTTGGATGGAGTGTCATACTACACACCAAGAGATGGCAGGTTCAGTTCCCCATCAGGGCACATACCCAGGTTGTGGGTTCAATCTCTAACTGGGGGCACATGCAGGAGGCAGCCAATCAATGTTTCTCTCTCACATTGATGTTTCTCTAAAATCAAATCAATAAAGTAAAATTAAAGAGAGAGACAGATGTGCCCTTTGCTCAGTAAACTGCCCCCTGAATCTGTAATTTAAATTTTTTCTTTACCTTAATGGAATAATTGGAAGTGAAATCTTCCTTCAATCTTACAAAGTAAGATGATGTCATGATGCAGGAAAGGGCTGAATGCCCAGGATTGGAAAAAATGACGAAGGAAGATGATAGACAACAATTGTTGAGGAGCCCTCAGCCCTTCTAACATAATTTAATCAAGAGTTGGAGGGGTGCCGGGCCTGCATGGCTTAGTGGTTGAGCGTGACCAGAAGGTCACGGTTTGATTCCCGGTCAGGGCACATGCCCAGTTTGTGGTTGCGGGCTCGATCCCCAGTGGGGGCATGCAGGAGGCAGCCAATCAATGATTCTCTCTCATCACTGATGTTTCTCCTTTCCTCTCTGAAATCAATAACAATATTTTTTTTAAAAAATAAAGTTTTTAAAAAAGAGTTGGAGGGTGATACTAGTGGTGGTGTGGCTATTTTCTGACTGGTTTGAGGATTTTGATGGGGGAAAAAGCCTTTTTTAAACCTCTGACTGGAGGTAACTGGATTGGAAATGAAAAGTAACTGTTTTAAGGCAGCGCTCTACAGCTCAAGTAATTAATCAGTTGAAGCAGAAACTAAATTTTTTATTTCAAGAAGGAAAATTCTTAGTGCAGCATCATAGAGGACCAGGGCTGGTGGCGGAAGGGACAGACTTGGCAAGAATAATCCACTGGGAGATGGTTACTTCTAACTTGGGCTTTGGCGAAGTGGATAGTTAAGGGAAAACAAAAAACAAGGTGGCATTGCTCATCCTAAGTCTCAACTCTGATTATTTTACTCCCTGTTCCAGAAGTTTTACTGTCTCCCCCTTTCCACCAACTAATCCAAAAATCCTGGTTTTGAAGATCCTTCTTGAACTGGCCTCAGTCTGTTTCTCCTCTATTTTGCTATTTACAAGACAGGTTGGGTTCAATTAAATTACCATTACTTGACCATACTTGCCTTTGCTCATGCCATTTCTTCTACCTAAGATAATTTCCTCACTCAGCTGCATTCATTCTTCAAAGCTTAATGTTGATCGTATAAACAAATTATCTCGGGCTTCTACAAACTATTACAGTGCTTTGTACATACCTCACTTATGGGACTTTTCCCTTTTTTTGCACCATCTTTTTAGATTCTGGGGCAGAGACCATGTTTTGGTCTTTGTCTCCCTCTCAGCCCCTAGCCAGGTGCCTTTCTCAGTGAGGTATTCAGAAAATATTAATTGAATAAATGGCTAAAGACCAAAACTTAGATCCATTGGATTTATTTCAAAGGGGACAAGACCATTGCAGGGACATAGGTACAGTTGACTAAGCATGTCACCTCTTAGTACATTTGCATTATGGATTTCTAGAAGCACCTTGTTCTCACGGTCTAGGGTTTTATGGCCTTGGAGACCAGATGGGTCATGTGCATCTCTTCGCTTTAAGGAAAATTGACAGGAGCCACACTAGAAGTAATGGAATTAGAAATGCTTTTGGCATTCTAGACCAGCACTTGGATTTATTTTTGCCCTCTTTGCCTCTGCAGGATGGAGCTGCAAAGGTGACTTGCATGGCTTGGTCCCAGAACAATGCCAAATTTGCTGTCTGCACAGTGGACCGAGTGGTGTTGCTGTATGATGAGCATGGGGAGCGGAGAGATAAATTCTCCACCAAACCAGCTGACATGAAGGTGAAGAGTACTCCTGTGTACCTTAACCTGTTGATGGGCC